ACGGTCTCTCTTGAATATTCTGCTTGGTTTATAAATCAGTTAAAAGGTAGAATATCCTGATAGTAGATAACAAGCATATGTATGAGATGAATCTGAAAAAAGTAGTTGAGCAGAGGATTTTGAGGTTCGCTTTCATTTGAAGATGAAGCAGAGTTTCACTAGGAGGTTTAGTGACAACTTGTTATTGTTTAGACAGTGATCTATCTGAAGAAAGATTAATGTTAATTGAAGTGGCATTGGAGAACTTCAACAGATGACAGCAGCCAAACTGGCTACAAGCTATTTTTAGAAAACTGACTTCATTGCATTCAGTGTGACTCATTTATTATGTTAACGGATGAATCAATAGCTCAGCTTGTTATGGCAGTCACTCAGTGTGGAACTGTATATAAAGATTGTGTTCGTGTCTTTGTTCAGAACTCAGATTATAAAAGCCAGCCAGTATTGATTCAGGCCAAGTGCTCAAGTGTCTTGCACATGATGTAGCTATGCAGTAATGATCCAGCATGCATGTACACACAAGGGCACTGGGGGAAACCAGTCAGAAGTCCAACTTGCCACTGTATGCAAAACAACACTGAGAATTTTAACCTTATATCCAGAGTAAATATTTTAAAAATGAGAAATTTAATTTCTGGTTTAGGTGGAGTGATGACATATGCAGGAAATAGGTCTTAGAAGGATAATTTATTAAAATAGTGGGTAGTTTATTGTTGTAACTGAATTGTCATTTAGCTCTCTTGAAGTTTTGTCTTGAGTTCTCTTCCTATGTGTGCTGTGGTTCCTTGTTTCTTGCCTCCATTTGAGCACGGTTCTCCCTGGGTTTTAACTTTACTTAACTTGGACAAAGTTCAAGTTTTCCTTCCTCGGTGATAGTCTGCTTTAATTTGCAAAATAGTAAAGCTTCCATCTGTTCCAATACAACTGTATTGGCTTCAGTTTATTTCTCATATTTTGCTAATTTCTTACGTTGCTATAGAAACCTTGCTTTCCACGTTCTCCTGGATCCTTTTTGTGAACTTCCTGTGAACAAGTCTGTGCATTATTTGTCAACCTGAGATGCACTTTTTTCTTAAAATAATTTACCTAAAAAAGACAAAAGGTTTCTATTCTTTCCAAAACTCCTATGCAAACGGTTATATGGGATTTATTATTTCCTCAATATTTTTTATGGGATTTTTGTCCTCTCTTTTCTGATTTGCTCCCCAAAGACCTTCACCAGTTCAGCCCAATACAAGGCGTGTGCCTTCATTTTTATTGTCAGCTCTAATTTCTACACCTAAGAGTAATTCCACTTCTCTTCTGCAAAATGATTAGAGAACTGAGGTGTCTGTATTACATGCAGGTTATGCTACAGACCTGAGGAGATATCTGTTGAAATTTGAATGTAAATCGTTCGACCTTTCAGAGATTGTGTTACATATACATATGAAAAATTAAAGCTAACCAGTATTTAAGATACTTGCACTATTAAATAAGTATCATGCTATAGTGTGAAAATACTGCGTTTTGAAAGATAAAAAACTGTGCATTAGGTCTCTAGGGATGAAGTTTGTAGCTGTCTTTACAGCTTACTGGCAGTAGCTGGCTGTATATTTAGCTTTGGTTTTGGTTGGTTGTGTATTTGTTCGGAGAGAAGATGCCATTTATATTGTAGGATGCTGGATGTTGTGTCGTTCAGCTGGAGAAAAATGTAATAAAATCTATAATAAAACTAAAACGCGTGAAAGATGAAGGGTGTATCTGCACAAAAATTGAGTCCCCGGTGAACTGAATTCCAGCTCTTCTAAGACATTCTTTGCTGAATTATCTTCTAGTGTACAAAGCCCACAGCAGTTAATATGTATTCGTGCTAGGTGGTCCTTTGTTTTTCTGATTGCAGTGTCATTGCTTCTTGAAACATTGTGATGAAAAATTTAATGTGAAATATTCTAGCAAAACACACCTGCAGAAAGGTTGATCCTAGGAAAACGGAAAAGTGTGTGGCATGTGCATGTCTTCTGTCACACACCGTGTATCATCCTGGGTCTGGAATCTCCTGTCTGTAATTGGCTGGTCTCTCTTCTTTCAGGTGTCAAAAGAATCAAGAATTTGTAAAAAACGAGGCAAACAGGTCACAGTTGATAGTGACACTTCAGTGTAATTCAGAGAAATACCTGAAATATAAAGTTTTCCTGAAGTTGGGCATACTAACTAATACACTGATTTTTCAGTTTGCCTTGATGTTGCTCTTCTTTCTTACCACACATCACAGTGGTTTTGTTTTTCTCAGTAACTTCCATGTGTGTGTGACATTGTGTAGTCCCTTGAAGTGTGGATTTACCTGACCGGGGGAGAGCAGTAATAGTATTTGGCAACACCAAACTGAGAGCTTTCAACTTTCTTTTCAGAGTATTTATCATGACGTTGGAATGAACTGAGATTTATGATTTTTGAGTGAACAATATGCAGCATGTTGCACAACTGGTTCTGCCTCTTAAATTCTTTGGATGAGTGGATGGTATGGAATGATATTTTGTGTGTGACACTGAAGCTAATCAAGACATTTGGCCAGCAAAAGAAATGCAGACAGTTTTAAAATTCTATCTGTATGTTAATTGTCACTGCTCACACATTGCAAAATCGGCAGCTTAAATCCTTTTTTTCTCGTAGGTACATTATAGTATAATGAAACAAAAAATTCATTTCCTCACATTAATCATGCTTACTGCAAGTAGAAGAGTTCAGGCTGCGCTAACTGGACCCTTGCTCTGTGTGTGTGTGTGTGTGTGTGTGGTGACTTTAAACTTCTGTGAAACTCACAACCAAACTATACACAAAGTCAAATGTGTCTATTAAGTCTCTGTAGGACCAGATTTAGGTGGCAATCTACTCTGATGATCTCTCTTTCAGGAGTTACAATGTGGAGTTAAAATCTAATGTTCTGAAATGAGAAAGTATAGACTTCCATGAAAATTGCATTTTAGCTCTGAGGCTTTTATAGAGTTGTATATTTATGTGTCTCTGGTTCTCTTTCAGTTTCTAATTTATTATTATTTATGTATGTAGTCTGTGTTTGCAAGCTAAAGGTGTCAGTGTAGGATTGAAAATTTATGAAGATAGAAATGGTGAGCTGGAGCTATAGGTGAGAGAGAATTTATTTAAACAGTAATATGCCTTTTAATATATCTTTCTCTTTAAAAAATGGGGAGTAGTGGTAACTGACATTTTACTTGAAAATGTGCTACCGTTTGGATGGCAACTTGGCAGATTCCGAGTATGTTAAACTCTTGACACAGAGATTTGCAGAAGTATTTGCAGAAAATTATGCTAATTAATGGTTTAAGCAATCAGATGAGTTTACCAAGTCAGTTATTTTTATTTAAATTTTTTTCTGATACATTCCAAGAAAGGGCTTAATAGTGACACTGAGGGTGGCTGATAGAGAAACCTACTAGGTGGAACTCCCTGCTGGTGGAGTGCTGGCAGCAGAGGCTCTGTCCTTGCCTTCTGCTACAGGATAGAAAGTCGATGAAGTTATTTTTTGGATACTCCAAAGTGCAAACAGGATTGGATCTGAAATAAAAAATATTTTCTTACGGGAATTCCAGCAGCAGGAGGACTGGTCACGTGCAGTGATAGCATGCTCTGATCTGAGCCATACCTTTTACAGTGTGATGAAGCAATCCTTTGTCATTTGTCAAAACCAATTTCTAGTAACTATCCCTGGAAGTACCCTTTGAACAAAGATCAGGTGCAGTGAAGAAGAAAAGCTCACATTTGTACTTGCACTGGCAAAAATCTTTCAGTTCTCTCCAGCTTTCAACTCCATTGATGATGAGCAGCAGTGGAAGTTGCAGAGGAAATAGGAGAGAGCAATTCCTACACTCTCAGTTTATGACGAATTTGAATGCTATAAAAAAAATCTTAATGTATTTTCTGTGTTACTTTCTTCTCCCCTTTTTAGTTTGTGTAAGCAATATCTATAACAGTTTCAAGATTGAACATAAGGAAATACTTGTGTGTGGAAGTGCTGACAACTAGAAGGAAAAAATCTTATAACAGGGATATAATACAACACATATTTGATGGCTGTCTACTTCTTTACAATAAATAGTGTCTTATGTGATTCCCATTTCTGTAGGACCCAGAATATGACTAGTGTTGCTGTGCAGAGCCAGCAGGGAGGTCATGAGTGCAGTTGTATTTTTAGGTCTGAGTTGTCACTATCAATGATACCGCTTCATGAAATAAAAGAAGCCATGTCTGCATGTCTCTGGGGAAAATGTAATATTTACCAGCATTTATAGTACATGCTATCCATCATGCTATGCTTCAGTATGTGAACTGTTCTTTACACACTTCCGCAGGATGTAGACGAGTAAGTTCAGTATGTTTAATGTGGAATTACCCCCCCCTATTTTTCTACACCGGTGCCAACTATTGCACATCACCCACTTTTTATTGCCAGTTATCAACTCCAGAAGCTTTTCAAACTTGGAAGCCTTACAGTCTGTGTGATTTGTGAGTTTGGTACATGCATTTCTACTTAAAAACTTTAAATTTCTAAAATTAGATTTGGATGCATTTAAGACTGTATAGCAGCTTGGTGAAATACTGAGCACAAAGCACATCAGGCTTCAAATATTTAAACTCATCCTTGTGACTCAAGATAACAAACAAGAAATTGTAGAGTGTGATGACTGATGACTGCTAGTAAAAATAAAAACATCCTGTTGATGGTAATTCTGCTTGGTTGACCTAATATGATCTTTCAAGCTGATGGACACCTTGTTTCTGATGTTTGTGCTAATCGCATGAAGACTTTTCAGTGGCTAAAGAAAGGAAAGGGATTTTTTTTGTCCTGTTATGGGGCTTGGCAGGTTTTACTTCTAAATTGATAGTAGTCATATTTGTGTTTTGGAACACATCATGACACCATTAACATGCTGTGCTTTGTGTTACTGATTTTGAGATTGTTGTTCTTTAGATTTCAGAGAATATTTTTCTTCTGATTTCAGGTTGGGTGGGACTATATCTGCATACAAGATAGTGCCAGATGAAATAGAAGAAATCAAGGTACAGTATTACTGCCTTTCAACACTGAAATTCTTTGCTTGGAGAATTACAGGAATGTTACATTAAAAAGCCATGTTATATCTTGCTTTGAAGTGTATCATGGGGGGAAACAGTGTCTAAAGCAAAATTATTAGATCCATTTTTAGGCATCTAAAATAGAATTTTTGTTATTTTTACAAGTGCAGTTTACCTTCAGCTTAAGCTGACTCCAGTAGAGTTTGTTTGATGCCAAAGACTTATGAAATTCAACATATTTCTGTTCTGTTAACTGAAGACAGATGCAGGACTACTGTAAATGTTGAGTTATATTTTCATATCAAAAAATAAATACAAATGTAATGTCATTGTGCTTTTGAGATCTATAGCACATCCATTTTTTTCAGTATTATCTGTCTTAAGAAGGGGATAGTTTGAAGTCACTGGTACTCAAAATCATTAAAAGCTCCTTGATTTTGGGGAGTGGCAGCAATAAATTCTGAAGTTTACCTCCAATGGAATATGCGTTATAACAAAAACTCACTTAGTGGAGTCCACTCATGGAAAGTACTTCAGCAATTTGCTTCAGCTTTGTTCTTGAGTGGAGTAAAAGATGGGTACTAGGTGGGAGTTTGGCCTAGATCTGGTAGCATGGTCTGTGTAGCTGGTTCTGTGATTGACAGTCTATGTCTGACGTATTGCTTGCTCACTGTGATTACTTAACCCATTATGCTATTTCTTATACTCGTTTTCAGCTGTACAAAGGGAGTCAAGTGTAGCTTACAACCTAATAAAGGCCAATGTTTGCATAATTATCTGATCTAGACATGAATTTGCAGGATATAAATTTGTGAGGAATTTTTCCTCCTCAATTAGCATCAAGCCCACAGTAAGCAAATACAGTGACTGCCTGTATCTGCATCAGTCAAATTGTGTCGCTCAATTGTGACCAAAATTTATTGAGATTCCTGGACTCCTCTGTCCTGATTTATGAAGAGGAGCATAATTTATTAGAATACAGCCAGCATTTAAGCTTTGGTATTAGAAAGAAGGCTTTCAAAGCTTCTTAGTGTTATGTAATATATTTTTCGGTGTTCAGAGAACTGGACCAAAACTATAAACCCAAAACCAACAAAACCCCTAAACCATAATCTTTCTCCTTTAATATATAGAAATCGAAACCCACTGACATTTTGCTAATGTTGAAGACAGAGAAAAGGAAGCTGGTATTTCTCTCTTCATTGTGCAAACTGAATTCAGTGAACAAAGAAAAATAAAATGCTGGAAAATAAGTAAATTTTATTTTTAGGCTTTTGTTGTATTCGGCAGGTTCAGTAGTCATGGGAATATGTTTGGTTTTTTTTTTTCACCTGTTAAGGAGGCCTGTTCTGATTTTCAGCTCTTTCTTACTCAGCTGGTGTTTAAATGCTTGAGATCCTAGGAAACAGCAAAGTATGGGCTACTCCTTGAACTCAGTTGTGCCAGTATGTAAGTGTGGAGGGAGGATTGTGTTGTTCTACGTCAGAGCTATTTAAAGTGTTTGGAAAAACCACCTCGTTTACTTGATTCTGGTCGCTGTCTTGCTGTGTTCAGGTAATGGTTTTTTTAGGTTGTCACAGGTCAGCCCACCTCACACACCTTAAATGACTGAACTTTTCAATCTTGTGCAGTACAGCGAGTGTTATTCATATGAAATAAGGCACTACTGGAACATGCACACTAGCAGCGAATGGACAAATCTATATCCAATATAGAAAAATATTCTTTTGCATGTGTGTTTTGAACAACAGCTGGCAAACAAAGAGACTGAGTGTGCTTGTATAGGGGGTGTCTTAAATTAAAACAGATTTGAGTAGAAGGAGAAAAGAGGGAATAAAAGAAAAAGCAATTGAGATCATTGGAAAATGATTTCTAGAGAGTACAGAATCTTCTTCCATGCACAATAGATAAGAGTTGTTCTGCCTCACAACTGTCTCTTCCCTATTTAAATATAAAATCTTAAGGGGTTTAATCTGATGAAGTATGCAAGGATAATAGCTCCATGTTTAATGAATGATTTAGCTTGACAGGTTGCTGAATTATATTTACGGGATTGTAATATTCATGTTTTCTGATAGTTCTTACACAGTAAACTGCTTGCTTAAAGGGCAAAAGAAGGTACTTCGTTAGGCAGAAAGCAATAATTATTATGCCAAATAAATAAGAAGTCTCTGACAGCATTTCCATATATTCTAGAGTAGGTGGTAGATTAACCTCTTTTAAAGCTCAAAATAATTTGAGAAAAACAGGTGTATTGATTTTGTTAATTCACACAATTACATCTTAGGCAGAATACCATTGTAAGCAGAGACTGTATCTTGGAGTTTATGGAAGAGGTGAAATATTTGTAAGCCTTAGTATGACTCCTGGTTGAAAAGTAGCTTTAGAAGATTAAAGAAATGCACATTTCCAAGTGTATTAGTAATTACAAAAATAGTCTGTATAATATAAATAGACAAGAATTTGTTTGTCCAGATTGCAATGCTCAGCAAATTTTAATGTGTGTTTATAATATTTCCATTCTGGAGTTTTTCTCCTTGCATGTGAGTGTGATTTTACAATGTGTATTATATGTACTGTCGGATTACATATGGCTTATGTATCTAGAATATTGGGTGTACATATTTGTGCCCATTTCTTAGGATCAGTGTATGTGATCAGTGTTAGGTACAATCAGAGCACTGCATCCCACTTACCGAAATTAAGCAGTGTTTGGGGTGCTTATAGACACATGAATTTAAGAGTATTTATGGCAGAAGTGATAGTGTATACCTTAATTACCCTCTTGCACCTTACCAAGGTTAGGAAGAATTGTGTGGAGCCAGTCACCACTGTGGTTCCTCAGCATCTGTATCAGTCTGAAATGGAGAAACCTACTTTCCCTAGATTTTTGTCATAGGTGCTTAGGTTCCCAAAGTGGAAGTGCTCTACAGGTAACCATATGAAGATACCATCACAGTTTTCTCCCCTGAAAACTTTTCTAGGAAGTAGAAATATATTCTATCACAGGATCATCAGGACCAATACTTCTTCAGTAGGAAAACCTGAACGAATGCCTAAATGCATGTGCTGCCATCTGCATTCCTGACATTTCTATACCAGTGAAAGCAATGGCATGTCACTTTCAATACTTGCTGATTTTAAAATACTGCAGGAACTGATGAGAACAGTAAATACAGTAATTACAGTGTATTTCTGAGCAAGTGTCACGGTCAACTGTCTCTAGACTTCTATTGTCATGAGAATTATTCATCCTGTAAGCAAGGAGCTATTCAAACTTGCAAAAACACACTGGGAGATTTTGGCCTTTCTTGTTGTCCACTGTAGTCGTATGTTGTGCCTAAAGGAGAGGTCTTCCAAGCCAAATAATTTCATCTGGGTAGGAACTGCTGTGCGTATCAGCCCTAACACTCTTTATGAAGAACATCTTCTGGTTGGAAATGAAAGCATTTACATTTCAGAGGAAAAGAGGAGCAGAAAACATTTCTTTATTTCTAGTTAATGGTGTTCATGACAAAACTCTATTTTATTTACGTTTTGGAGTTTGCTTCAAGACTAATTAGCAATTTATGACTGTTACCAATAAGGGAAAATTTGTTTGACATACCTGTAGATAGTTTTATATGTCGACAGTAGCATCTTATGGTTTATAGTATAATGACAGATGTTCTTTTTGATTGCAGCAGTCTGTCATCACAAAGGAAATGCATGATGCTGTGAAGTATTGTTAATCTAGAGGAAGACTCAGCAAATGAGAAGGTCACTTATTAATGTTTTATTAAAAAAAATACTGAGTTTGCTAGAATTTACTAGTCACCCGCAGAAAGAAATTTAATTGGTTAGTTTTGTTTTTTTTTTAAGGGTTTCTCCATATGCTTTTCATGTAGGCATATGCATGCATCTCATCTTAAGACCAGAAATGAATTTGGCAAAAGGTGTTCAATTCATAAAAGTAATACACACAAAAAAGACGTTGCCGTTGTATTTCATTGTTGTAATACTTCTGGTATGAGACAAATATTCCAGTGTAGAGAACAAGGTTAAATTGTTACCTCCTCTGGAAGTTAATTTTAAAAAACCTTGTTAGATATTTTTCTTAGTACTGGTTGTAAATTTAGATGCAAAGCAGTTCTGGAGGAAGATGGGAATTTATTTTAGTTCCATTATCCACCCATTCACACAGAGACATACTTTACGTTCCTCAAAGAACACCTGTAATTCTTCTATAGTTGCTCTTTAAATGAAAGTGCATATGCATGAAGTATTAAAGACTACATTTAACACTGCAGACTTTTTCCCCTGAACGATGATAGGATAGCTCTCTTTTTTTCTTCAGAAGTATGTTTACACTTCATAGTTTAAAATGTGAAAATCTTTTTATTGAATAGCTGAAACACATTCCTCTCAGATTGTCTTTAGTCTATGAGGAAACAGGTTCCAGGGATAAAGGTGCAAGAGCAGAAAATTATAAAACATGCAAGAGAGAGGGAGGTAGCCTGAAAGGAAGCGAGGAACACTGTGTCATCTAGAGGTCAGTTGCTGCAGATGACTTAGGAATTCATAAGATTTTAACTTTTCCACACAGTTCTCTTTAGGAGCATGTTATGAACAAAGTAAGCTGAGTTCAGTATCAGTGAGCTGCATTTCAGAGAAAAGCTGGACTCTCTGCCATCAAAATATGCCTCTTTGAAATAGTTACAAATAAAATCAGTCTATTCAGAGATTGTCTCAGAGATCACGTGTTTGTAGACCTGGTGGTATCGTACACCTGCATAGTTCTGTATGGCAGAATCTGTTCTTTATGCCAGTAGGAGTAGCTGATGAAGCTTGTGCATCCTTTGTGTGCTGCCAAGAGACACTGGCCTTGATACTTCAAAGCATTTCAATGTTTATTAATATGTGGAAAAAATAAGTAGCAATTTGTCAGCAACTGTTGGTTTATTATCCTGTATCAAAAAGACAGGAATGAAGAAAGGTGGTCATTC